CCATGCCTTTGTCTCCTCCAGGTTGGACTACTGCAACGCACTCCTCATCGGGATCCCTGGCAGGAGCCTTCAAAAGCTCCAGTACGTACAAAACAGCGCGGCCAGGGTCCTGATGAGGGTGCGGAAGCATGAGCACATCACCCCCATCCTTCACACCCTCCACTGGCTCCCCGTTCACCTCCGTATAGAATACAAGATCCTCCTGCACACCCACCACTGTCTCCACGGTGATGCCCCCACCTACCTCACTGACCTCCTCACTCCACACTCCTCAGGCAGAACCCGGTCAGGCCAACAGCACCGTCTGCTCCCGCCCAGGACACGGCTCAAGAAAATGGGGGACCGGGCCTTCGAGGCCGCTGCTCCCCGTCTGTGGAACGCCCTCCCGGACCACCTCAGGGCCCCACAGACGGTGGAAGCTTTTAAAAAGGGACTCAAAACCCATCTTTTTACTAAAGCGTACTGCTAATTTTTTTATAGTCTTTTATCTGATTTTATGTGTTTGCTTTTATTTATGCTGCTGTTTGTAGCACTTTGAGATTTGATGTCAAATATAAAGTGCATTATAAATAAAATTTATTATTATTATTATAAGTCTTCTGTGCACAAGGCCACCATCTGTTTGTGTTCAGCATTTTATTGGATTATTGTTTTAATGAGCAACAGGACAAAATACGATCTGATCTGACGTACAAAGTGTTTTCTCTTCAAATGTAACTGGTGCGGCATCATCCAACCCTGTTTAAAGACTATCTGATCTTTTGCTTTCTGATCAGTACAATTGTGTTGCCTCACAAAGAAACATACTGTACAACATAATCTCAAAATAAATTGATAATTATATGGATTAAATATACAGTCAGATGACAGTTTGTGAAAAAGAATGTTTAAGAATCTAATGGAAGTAACGACAAGTTCTTAAACCTGTGCAATTCCAGTTCAAAGTGTAAACATTAATTTAACAAGACAAAAGTGTTTCTTCATTACGCCATCAATACTGTGTGAATATAGAGTTGTATCAGTCTCTGTCAGGACCTTGGTTTTCGGGCCTGATCACAGCTCTAATTTCCTTTGAGATTCTGCTGGAAACCCACTTTTCTGCATCATTGTTTGAGTCAAATGTCAGATTAGCAAACATGAGAGAGCAGCCTGAGTGGCCCCTGAGCTCAGGGATGATGAGGAGATGCACAGACAGAACCTCACTCCTCTGTGGCCAACTTCCTGACGCAGTCTACTTTAAACGCAACAACAACAAGTCCAGTCCCAGGGAATAACTTCTTCAGTGGGAAACATGCAACAGCCTAAACAACTTGTCTTTTCTTTTTTATTTATCATGTATGTGTTTTGTTGATATCACTGAAACTGACAATAAAATTTTTAAAAGTCAATTCCCGCCAAAGTTCACATATCCTCAGAGTACCAGCAAGACCAGGGAGAGACCAGGGAGAGACCAGAGAGAGACCAGAGAGGGACCAGAGGGACCAGAGAGAGACCAGAGAGAAACCAGAGAGAGACCAGAGAGAGACCAGAGAGAGACCAGAGAGAGAGACTCCTCAGAGTCCCATAAGGAGGCCGGTTCCTGTGCTCCTCAGAGTCCCATAAGGAGGCCGGTCCCTGTGCTCCTCAGAGTCCCATAAGGAGGCCAGTACCTGTGCTCCTGAGTCCTATAAGGAGGCCAATCCCTGTGCTCCTCAGAGTCCCATAAGGAGGCCGGTACCTGTGCTCCTCAGAGTCCCATAAGGAGGCCAGTACCTGTGCTCCTCAGAGTCCCATAAGGAGGCCGGTCCCTGTGCTACTCAGAGTCCCATAAGGAGGCCAATCCCTGTGCTCCTCAGAGTCCCATAAGGAGGCCGGTCCCTGTGCTCCTCAGAGTCCCATAAGGAGGCCAGTACCTGTGCTCCTCAGAGTCCCATAAGGAGGCCGGTCCCTGTGCTCCTCAGAGTCCCATAAGGAGGCCAGTACCTGTGCTCCTCAGAGTCCCATAAGGAGGCCAATCCCTGTGCTCCTCAGAGTCCCATAAGGAGGCCGGTCCCTGTGCTCCTCAGAGTCCCATAAGGAGGCCAATACCTGTGCTCCTCAGAGTCCCATAAGGAGGCCGGTCCCTGTGCTCCTCAGAGTCCCATAAGGAGGCCAGTACCTGTGCTCCTCAGAGTCCCATAAGGAGGCCAGTACCTGTGCTCATCAGAGTCCCATAAGAAGGCCTGTCCCTGTGCTCCTCAGAGTCCCATAAGGAGGCCAATACCTGTGCTCTTATTTTGTTCAGCACTTTGAGTTGCCTTGTGTATGAATTGTGCTATACAAATAAACTTGCCTTGCCTTAAACAAGGTTAAAAAACAGTTACTGATGTTACCGATTTGATGTGGCTGTTAAAATAAGTCTAAGTCATTTATTACGCTGGATACCTGACCTCTTTTGAAGCTAGAGAGAGATTGGGGGTGATAACACTGTTTGTGGGGACCAAAGACAATCATTTCAGTTTTGTCTGTGTTTAGCTGGAGACAGTTGTTCTGCATCACTGATCTGTTGGATACAGTGAAGGAGTGATCCACTGGTCTGTGTTCTCCTGCAGTCAGAGAGACATAGATCTGATAGTACTTTATCAAATACTTCAACACATGCACCCAGAGCAAACGTGCTGTAACTTGAAGAAGGTAGTGCAGTGAAAAAGGCTGGATTCTGAAGGAGCCCTGGTGTTAAAATGAGGAGTGGCACATCCATTAAATTTTCACTCCTCCCTGAGAGTAGAGGCGTGCATGAAAGCAGATTTCATTTTCCCTCAGAGGCTCTCATCTCCTGCTGAGAACATTTAGAACTTTATACATGCAGTGATTCAGCACAATACACAGACGAGCGTAAACCAGAGGCGGCTGGTCATTCCACTATTCAATACAAACACTCGCTCAAATAACGTGCATTCTCAGGGACCCCCAGCGAAGGGGTAAAGCAACAGGATCTGCAACATATTCTGCCAAACTCAAGAGTTCAATGTAAAAATAAATAGACAGTACATTGTTCTGTCTCATTTTTTACATGTTTCGTATTTCTATCACAGTGGTGCTATAACGCAGTTCAAATTTCTGTAGCCTTGCCTTTTTGAACATTTTTGACAATAGATAGATAGATAGATACTTTATTGATCCCCTGTTGGAGAAATTCATGTGTCCAGCAGCAGAAGACTCATCCAGGTTTGTTGTACAGTCTGACAGCCGAAGGAAGAAAGGATCACTTGATAGAATTACAACAAAAATCATTATCGTTTGTATGTAAAAGCCACTTCACTTTGGATCCGCTGCAATGTAAACCATGTCCCTGGCTCAGACACCAGTCATGATGAGATGTTTCAGACAGAAAAGTGAACAATAGAGGAACTCCCTCGCTCTGCCATGAGCTCTTGGCCCAAAACAACAAATATTGAATCACAGGGATCCTCTGAGGAGTCAAAATAACAGTAAGGTTGTGGGCCAATTTTGTTGGAACAAAGAACATGTATTGTTTATGAAAAATAAAAAAGTTAAGTACCTAGCTGTGGTCTAATACAGAGAAAAACTGTTTTAGTCCAATGGATGTCATTGTAGGGCTGGGCGATAAAACGATAACGATATATATTGCGATAGACACGTGTTCGATATCAATAGAAAACGGGGTCGATAGAACTTCGATAGTTTCACTTCAGTCCGTTCGAAACAAACAGGAACAAAACAGAGGAAGTAAAGCCAAAGCGCACGGCATTCTGGGGTATGTAGGCAAAGGCTTCTCGACCTATCACAGCCGACTACAAACCGCAAAACTTTCTGGGAAAAGAAAAAAACAAGCGCACCATGCGTAGCGTCCATGGATCATGGATCTATTATAATAGCCCTGGATCTAAAGATCGTGTTTCAGGGCCGTGTCAATGGTTAAACACGTCTGTGCGAGGAACAGCATGTGCAGCGCGGGAGGCAGTGGTTACAGAGACTCGATGCATTCGGCAAAAGCAAGAGATTCACTTTTTCTGGAGCCGCCACGAGGACACAAGACACTCGAAAACAGCCAAAACAGGAGCTAAACCAGGATTAAACCAGGACTAAAGTGGGGGAGACTGCTTGTGAACATTTGGCTCCAGCCTCATTCCCCCGTGACTGTAAACAAGGCTGCTAACATGTGTTAGCCGACACGACAAATTTATTTATTTACGTTTTAAAAGATAAATAAAAAACAATCAATATATATCGTTATCGACCGTAATGAATTATTATTATTGTGATATAGTTTTCAGCCATATCACCCAGCCCTATGTCATTGTATTTCACCCAGCCTCCTTTGGAACGAATCTAGTTGCAGTATTCATTTTTGTATTGATTTGAACGCAAGAGTGAGTGTGGTTTTTTAGACAACCTTACAAGGACATTTTCAATCTATTCAAATCAACATATTTAAAACAAATAGACCTTAAATAATCCAATGTATCACTCAATGAAAAATGTATAATGATGACAAATGGTCTGGAAAACACCGTTTATGTTGGAGAAAAATCAAAGGAATTATGACCATAAATCTGTGTTCTCGACCCACTTCCTCTGACCAAATATAGCAGTAATTGTGACAGCAATAAAAAGTGAATTGTTTTATAGGCTTTTGTTTACATATGGGTCAGGTGAAGAAGGTTCTAAAACTACAGAGAAGTCACACTGGGGACCATACTTGGAGTTGCACGCACTGCTCTTTCATTAATAAAGCTGTCCTTGTCAATTCTTATATTGCTGCATGTGGATGATAAACTTGCCAAAGTCCATGCTAAGGCTACGCTTACCTCCTTCTTATATTATGTGCTGCTGTTCTGCCTAACGCCGCGGTCCGCTGGGTTCTTATGTTGCTGAACTGTGCAAGAAAAAATTCCGACCCTTGTGTCTGACAATAAAGTACTTACTTTTGTTGCTTCTGCACCCCAGCTCCGGGATTGTTTCACTGTTTACACTACAGTATACTCGGCCAGCCTCGAAAGGAACAGTCCATTATACCATCATTCCCTCGGGTCCTGGGTGCTCTGCCTGGGTGCACTGCCTGGGTGCACTGCCTGGGTGCACTGCCTGGGTGCACTGCCTGGGTGCACTGCCTGGGTGCACTGCCTGGGTGCACTGACTGGGTGCACTGCCTGGGTGCACTGACTGGGTGCACTGACTGGGTGCACTGACTGGGTGCACTGACTGGGTGCACTGACTGGGTGCACTGACTGGGTGCACTGACTGGGTGCACTGACTGGGTGCACTGCCTGGGTGCACTGCCTGGGTGCACTGCCTGGGTGCACTGACTGGGTGCACTGACTGGGTGCGCTGCCTGGGTGCGCTGCCTGGGTGCGCTGACTGGGTGCGCTGCCTGGGTGCGCTGCCTGGGTGCACTGACTGGGTGCGCTGCCTGGGTGCACTGCCTGGGTGCACTGACTGGATGCACTGACTGGGTGCACTGCCTGGGTGCACTGCGCAGTGACTTTGAGACTAATTCCAGTCTTCCCTCGTGGTGAAAAGCTGACACGAGTCCAAACAACATGCCAACCTTTCCCACTGATGTTTTGTTTTTTTCGAATATGTTGAAATACAGTACAAACTCTCCGTTTGAAAAAATGAACTAATTAATTAAAGGTAGTTGTTTTATTAAGGTCATTTAACTTTTTTATTCATAAAAAAGAAATGAAACTTATCCAAGAAAATTGCACAAATTTACATTTGAGCTGATTTTTTTCCCCTTATTATCTTTAATTTATAGACTTGAATGTGTACATAATTTAATGACAACTCAGCACAAATGTGATAACATTAACATGTCTCTGCATATATAATTTACAACAAAAAATACATAACTTAAAGCATACAGAACCCATAAGAAATATATTGCATTATTTTTAATAAATCATAGATGTGTACTTTGTAATTTCATGTTTTAGAAAAAAAAAAAGAAAAGAATAACAATATATTAAGAAAAAAATATGTGAAACAAGTATGAAGACTGATAAGGGCTTTCTGCCTGTATTTCTTCATGTCGCCACCAGAGGGAGGAGTCAAATTTCCCATCAGCGAACACAGCCATCTGATAGTAAAGAACCTCATTTCCCCTGACACATTACCCAAACTAATTTAGGAGCAACACCCTTCTGTGGTGTTAGGGTCTCCAGCGTTATACAATGTTGACCTTTCTGAAGGTAAACATGTATGACTGTGGTGTTAGGGTCTTTTTTGACAGAGCAAGGTAAAACTACACCACACAGGTCGAACTATACCAAATGTATACCTGACCCCACCCCTTTCTCCAAGAGAACAAGTCTTTTCTCACAGTACAGTCTGTGACCCTGACTCTAACCGAACCCATGTGTGTGAGAACTCACACTAAAATGTAACATATTGTGGACATACAAATCAAATGTTGTACACGTATAAACTCGACCTGACGAGACACAGACAACCCCCTCCCATCCATGGGAACTCTATTGGGAACTTTTTTTGACCAGTGCCCAGATTTTCTTACAGAAATATCTACACGACCAAGGTTCATTTGAACTTTATTGTGCATCAGCATCTGTCAATTTCATCATGAGCAAAGGCACTCTCGCTTCTCACCAAGAAGGTCTAGGGTTCAAATCCTGGTCGGAACAGGGCCTTTTTGAGTGGAGTTTGCATGTTCTCCCTGTGCCTGCGTAGGTTTCCTCCAGGTGCTCCGGTTTCCTCCAGGTACTCCGGTTTCCTCCTCAAAGAATGGGAAGGTTTGGTCTCGAACCCAAATGAAAATGAAGGCAGAGCAACATGAGCAACATGAGCAGAATAACCCGGACCCACTCAACCTGCAAAGAGCTCTGGTGTGTGCCGTCTTCTCTGTCTGGTGCACACTGGGTCTTTCACAGTTTTACTGCCTTTACTGTAAATGTAAAATAAATGTTTGTATCTTGTAAAGTCACAGATCCAAGACATAAAGACTGCATTAGAACTTTTCAATTGAAATATATGGTTCTGAATGCATATAATGTAAGTTAAGATGTAGTATTTACTATATTGAGTGAGCACCTCTTTCTTTTTAGTGGTCAGAACCGAGTTAGACCCCGGGTCAACATTGACCCGTTAACAACATGAGGGTTATGAGTGTGACATCATAGTGGCACAATGACATCCTGCTCTTAGGAGCCTTTACACAGAAGGGGCAGAGTTACCAGTTTGTACCAGAACTTCTTGACATTCAAAAGCTAAACAAAAAAATATTTAGCATAATTGTATTATAATTGTTCTTCTTTAAAGCATATTCCTTCATCGGGTGTCACATTTTTGACTGTTCCCAAACTCCCAGCCTGCAGATCCAATTCACCACACATACAAAAACCCTCAGGGAGCAAGCAGAGCATTAGAAAGTCTATTGGCCTAATCAGGCACGACCGTAACGACTCCAACAGAACCAAACACAGCTGGCTACAGAACACTCTGAGATGGGGACAGTGTTTACATAAGGAAATGATAATGGTGACCAGACGGACACCCCCATCCTGCACCGAGAGGATCTGAGGGTGTAATATCAGCAGCAGCGGGAGGCAGACAGAAGAGAGGAAAGAAAAGAAGCAAGAAGGAGAGAAAGAGGAGCCAAGTTAGGACAAGGAGAGAAGTAGCCGCACACTTCACTGCTCCGAGACGTGAACCCAGAGCAGAGCACTTCCTCAGATCTGATAATTGTCCAGTCTGAAAACACAGCAGTCTGAAAACGGCGGCCCGGTGGCTGAGTGGATAGCACTCTCGCCTCTCAGCAAGAAGGTCCTGGGTTCAAATCAGACCAGGCCCTTTCTGAGTGGAGTTTGGAGTTTGCATGTTCTCCCCGTGTCTGTGTAGGTTTCCTCCGGGCACTCCGGTTTCCCCTACCACTAAAAATATGTCCAATAGTTCTGGCATGTGCCTCCTGTACTGGTGACCCCGCTCCCATCTCTGTGTGGAGTGAGAGACAAATGCCCAAAAATTAGCAATTGTAAACCGCTTTGAGACTCAGATCTGCAGTGAAAAGGCGGTATATAAAATAAAATAAAATAAAAAAAATGAAAATAAAACAGCAGTCTGAAACCCGCTTTAACTTTAAGAATCAGTCAGTTTAAGAGAACTCATTGTTTGGGCGTCCCAGTGGCAGAGTATTTAACTGCAGCACTATGGCTTCTCAGTAAAAATGCCCTTTTTCAAATATCCAAATACCTCTTCAGTCCAGTAGCTGCTAAAAAATTAACGGCTTATTAACCGAGCGCGAGGTCTGTATGGAGAAATATCAGACCGCGGCCTTAATGTACAGACCGAGCCGTGGCGAGGTCTGTACATTAAGGCCAAGGTCTGATTTTTCTCTGTACAGACCGAGCAAGCAATCTCTTCTGTGTCTTTACCAATGCTTTTGAGATAGTTATGGAGTATGTTCATGTCCGACTTGGTTTTGTGTGATACGCGCTGTTCGGACCAATTGTCATGGTAACGGTCCGAGATGGGAAAATATCAGACCGGTAATCAGCCAATCAGAGCGCGCGTAGGGTCCAAGTCGTATAATAAAACTGTTTAATGCATTAGACACATTTTCTATAGCAGCTTTTTTAATTTGTGTAACCGACATGATGCCTTTGATGGACTGAGCACCACAGGTTTGTTACATATTTGATTAAGAGATTCTTTTTTAGAGTAGAAACAAATTTATTACATTCATATAGTAAACCAATTAAATGTGAAACCAGACCATTACTTTTGTTTAAAGTTTTTTAACCATGAAGAAAAACTTTAACATCGGTTACACATTTATCAATAGTTATTTAAATTTGTATTGATTATATTTTATGAACAATTCCTTTTACTTTCCATTTTATTTTCTAAATCAGAGGCTGATCTAGTCTTTTAAAATGTTGCCAAAAATATATTTGTCAATCTTTTCTTTTGATTTCATCCACATTATCTCTTTGATATGTTTGACATCTTTTCTCCAATCGATGACAGTAAATTTAGTTTTTGAGTTATGACCTTTTAAAGTCCAGACACTATAACTGACACTTGTGTGAACTGTGAACACACTCATTTACTCTGTGTAGGACTCCCTGGGTGCTCCGGATTCCCCTGCCACTGAAACCATGTAGCCCAAGCCAAGCATCAACACCTGGAGGCCACCACTGCCCCTGACAGAGGCGCCAGTGTCATTATAGGATGGGTCAAATGCAGCAAACACATTCTCCGACAGGTGAAGTACCCCAGCTTTAAATATGATTACCCCATGGCTATGCATTTTTCCTCAGTTGGACACAATCTGAGTCATTTACAAGCCATGGTTTTGAGCTCATCCCTGCGAGTTTGAGAGGTAGGGACAGAGTTAAAAGACTCGCACAAAGAGAAACTTTCTGGATTGATAAACTTAAAGCCACTGTCTTTCCAGGGCTAAATCATGACGTTGACTTTTCAGTGTTTTTATAAAGAGTATGTCTATTTTTTCCCAAAGGCCAAGGTATTCACTGAGGGGCCCCTCCAGTATAATGTGTGTTGGTGTACATTCTTTTGTATGTGTCTATGTAGCATATACTACAGTATCTTCATGTTTAACTATCCTCCCTTCATTCAATGAGGCATTTTTTATTTTGTCATGTGTCGAGTTCAGTGGACGTCATGAGTCTATTTTAACCTGTCAATTTAGTATGTTTTTTACACTGCCCTGAAGAAGGCCCTGCGTGGCCGAAACGCGCTGGTCCCTTCTCTAATAAAGGACTTTTATCAGAGTTCCTCGGATTTCACCCTGTCTTCTTTGGAAAAGGGTATCTTTGTTTTTCAATGTCCTTTTTCTTTCTGAAGAGCACCTGATTTTAATTACTATTTTGGACCCTATAGCACTCATTCCTCCTGTTCTCTTTAAATACGATTGTTGGACTGGGACCAAAAAACGGCCTACGTGACGGCCCAGGTGTGTTTTTAACGGTTTGTTTATACAGTTTGTTCATACAGTATGCGGAAGCACATACTGTGGAGGATCAGGATGTCTGCAGTTTGAACAATAAAATAAAGTGCAGTAGTCTACATTAAAGAGAGTAATAAACATGTCTCAGAGGGAGGTGGACACAGCACTATTGTTTGTTACAGGGGTGAGAATCGGTCAAAAAAGTCTGAAATGAATAATGTCATTGACTGCCTCTAAATCTGTTTAATCTGTTCACAACATTTTACTTTTGGGCACAAACATGAACTTTTAATGCAATGGAAAATGTAGGTACCCGAGCTATATTTTAGGGAGTTTAGTCGCGCTTCATACAATCAGACCAAGTCATGTATGTGGTGCTTTGTGGGAAATTGAACTGGACATATGTCGTTCCTCACAGAAGCAGAAGGATCTAAGGACAGATCCATTTAAAGACATTAATTAACATTTATGGACCTTGGTCATCCCGCTCCCATGGACCAGAGGTTTCATATGCATTTGTAGATATTGCGTTTCTTGTCTTCGAACTGCTTGATTCTCTGATCTATGTAAAGTTCTTTAAGACGACTGCTGTGAA